ACTTGCTTGTGTGTATTTGTGTATATATAGAAGTGAATTGATGTGAGAATCCACAATGTGCGAACTTGACAAATTTAAACAATCCACTGAAAATGAACCAATTATTATTACTAATTGGGTCATGTGATTCTGTTATAGTGGTCTGATCACATTCAATCCCAAAGAGCAGTGTGCAATGAATTTCAGCCTTCAGTTGAATCACCTTGGGCACTTATTAAAATAGCGCCTAGCAAAATGCACTACTCCCAAACTACCAAGTCAGACTCTGGAGATGAGGCTCAGAATTACGCAGTTTTCAAAACCTTGATGGGGCTCATGGGTGGCTTAGTCAGTTAAGTGACAGACTTTTATTTTGGCTCAAGTTTCATGAGTTTGAGCCCCACATCAGACTCTGTGCTGGCAGTGCAGAGTCTGCTTGGGATTCTCAATGTCTCTTCCTCTCTCTCTGCCCTTCCCCCTGTGCACTTGCTCTCTCTCAGAATAAATTAATAAATTTAAAAATTTTTTTAAAAAGAAAACTTTGCAAAAGCATCACCTGGTTCCTAGTTTTCACCTGTATTTTTGACCTTGTATGGGGACACTAACATTGATTCCAGAGAGCCCTAAAAAGAACAAGGTCCCACCTAGACCAGCTCAAGCTAGGTGTGGATGGCAGCTCTGGACATGCTCTAACTTCATGTTCCAGCCTTAGAAATTGCATCTTGGAGGCCAATTGGAGTCTTCTCTGAGATGGATCAAAATGGGGATTTTAAGGCAGCTCTATTTAGGATGGACTTTGTGCCCTCATTTCTGGCCCCCCACAAAAACAATGAACGTTTCCCCTCACTCAGTCACTATTGCATTTTATTTTGCTCAGAGGGGTTTGCTGATATCATCGCTCATGAAATTTAAGGAGATTCTCCAGTTTGAGCTATCACTGACCATCACAGAAATGATGGTCTGGTGTTGTAAAACGTTTGGATGTGAAGACTAAAAAATGCCCATGTAGAGTCTACAAGTATTTTCTGGATCCCCATGCTCCTCAGTTGCTCTGCCCCATCTATCAACTCTTTGGAAGGAGGATATAGCATATAAAGAAGGCAATGATTTTCTTTTCCTGAGTTTTGAAAGAATGATGACACTCACCTAAGGCAGTAACAAAGTGGGAGGGAGACCACTCATTCTTGGGTCTGTAACCAGTCATCAAACCAATCATTCTTCATTCTTTATTCTCCTCTTTTTTTAATTTTCTATAATGAGAAGTAATTTAAACAGCCATATGCAGTTATGCTTGCTGGAGTCTACTGAATATATACTATGATTCATAATAATTACCTCACTCAGCATAAGACTTTTATTAGGATGGTGACATTTATCTTACCCATCACTTCTGTTTTTCACCAGTGACTTACCATATGACTTTGGGTGAGTAACCTCGACTCTCTCTGGTCATTAGCTCCTATCCACCCCAATGTAAGAAGAATAATGAGTTACAGCCAGTGGAGACTTTGGGATCAGAGGAGGAATCCTAATTTTGCTTAAGTAACAAATAATTCCCCATAAAAGTGTTAAGCATTGTGTTTATAAATAAACTTGGAAAACTACTTAAGGCCTATAGAGGAGTAAGCAGATGTGTCCATTCCTAAGTAGTGAAACAAACTGAGGTCCAGAAAAAAAAGAACTTGTTTTTGCATTGGAACTTATTTCAGTGTCCATGGAAAGGAATAGCTAATAACACTGTTTTCTTTCTCAATATAAATCAATAGAATCTCTTTTAAGATGAATAAAAGTTAGAAGATCTATGGAGAAACACATAAATATTGGTGTTATTCTCTAGGAAACACACACACACACACACACACACACACTTACAAATGTGGTGCTGTAATGGTTCAGTTAATGTTTCTGAGTCATCCACAAAAAAATAACTGAGTTTAGTGCAAGCACGTTCTTAAGGAAATGAAGTCATATAGCCAGCTATTTTCAAGCGGTACTTGGTACTGAGTATAACATTTTTCTTTAGCTTTTAGATGTCCTGGCTCAATGGAAAAATTAAAAAACTCGACAGATTGTTCTTTTCCATTTCATGACAGATACCTGGTCATTGAAAACTGTTTGTTAGCCTTTTCTTACCAACTCACTCAAAAGTCTAAATGTTGTTGGGTTGGGAAAGTGTTCTCTTGTGATGTAGAAGGTAAGATGCTGGGTGCTCGAAACACCCACTAGCGAATATAAATTGCTGACTAAGCAAAGGCAGGCTGAGAGCGCAGCCTTCACAAGTGGTTGTTTGTGAAGTAAACAGAGGTGAAGTTTGGGGGATCAATTTGTTGATTTGTCACCTAAATCCCTACAATGTTAAATAGAGGGCAAAAAGAAGGAGAATAGTAGAATAAGCATAGAATGTTCACTTAATATAAATGGTACCATGATAAACAAGAAGCCCAGTCAACAAACAGAAAAATGCAGGTGGTATCATGTTAAATGAAAGTCAACCCATAAATCAATGGACCAAAGGATAAAAGTCAGAAATAAATCAACATATTTACGGAAATTGAATTTTGAGCAAAGATGATCATTCAAATTAGTGGGAAAATAATGTATTATCCAACAATAGTGTTGGGGCAATTACGCAGCTCCCTGAAAAAAGTGTACTCCTCCCTTTTAAAAGGCAGAATAATGAATGAAAATTAAATCATAAAAGCACTAGGAGAAAGCACAGAAAAATATTATAGTCTCAAAATGGAAAGTCATTCCAACTATGATATAAAACCCCTAAAACAACACAAGTTAGTCAAACCAGCTACATAAAAGCATGTTTTTATGTGCTCTCTCTCCCAAATAAACATAATAAACAAAATCAAACTACAAAGAACAGAGAGGAAAATCCTTAAAACTTTTTATGTAAAGAACTTATTAATATATAAGAAGTTTTTTAAAATCAATATTGAAAACTTTATTATAAATGGGTAGATGCTAGCAAAAATTCATAGAAAATAAAATAGAATGGCTTTTAATCATGTACAAAGCTTCTCAACTACACTCATACTAAAAAAGAGACAAATCAAGACTTCAATAAAATATTGTATTTCACCTATCAGGTTATCAAAGATCAAAAACTTGATGACACACTGTGCTGTCATCCACTGGTGGTTGGAGTGTAAGTTGGTAAACTTCTATGGAAGTCAATCAAAATATGGGACACGCATACTGTTTGATCCAGCAATTCCACCCCCATGCATTTGTCATGCAGAGAATTTAAAGTTTCTGTACTCCAAAGTCAAGAAAGAAAAACAATGACTATTCTTTGGCCATAGTCCCAAGGTACAAAAAAGTCACCACTTCAACCTTTCTCAGAGCTATCCCAATCGATCAGTGAAAATCCGATTCACTTCTGACACTTCCTGAAGCCAGCTGTAAGCAACAGACTCACACAAACGGACAAGGTTCCACAGCGAAGGGTCACCTAATCCTTCAGAACTACCCCTTCAGAAAGTCTGTCAGTCCCCGGACTCAGTGCTTCCCCAGCCTATATCAGATCAGCTTGTGGCTTGTCTGGACAGAACATACCCTACACACACTGTCTCCCCCTGTGTAACAAGTGATAAAGTCAGCTTTTGACTCAACAAATTGCTGCTTAATATAGAAACAGGCTATAGACAATGCAAATAATTTAAGAGGTCCGGTAAATTAGAAAACCAGAAACAGCAGATGTCTCCTTGAAAGGGAAATCGTTGTCATGGGGCAATGGACAGAGGAAGAGACACATACATTTCATTGAATAGTGTTTTAAGGGCTTGTTAAGTTTGGCACGTACTACACCATTAAAGGATAAGTTATTTAAAGTCCGAATTTCTTTTTGTTATAATTTTTTTAACAGTTTTTATTTTTGAAACTGAGAAAAACAGAGCATGAGCAGGGGTGGGGCAGAGAGAGAGGGATACACAGAATCTGAAACAGGCTCCAGGCTTTGAGCTGTCTGTACAGAATCTGATGCGGGGCTCGAACTCACAAACCACGAGATCATGACATGGGCCGAAGTCAGAGCTTAACTGACTGAGCCACCCAGGTGCCCCCGAATTTCAAAAAATTAGATGTGTAATATGACAAGAAAGCATATGAAATTGATAGTGAAACTGTGACCATTGTGGTTATTTCTAAATAATTGACAGATAGTGTTTTAAGTAACTTTTGCTCTGAATATTCCACAATTTTGTGACATAAGTTGTAATTCTAAATTGCAACTCTTTATAAAAGTCCTCCTAGGGATCACACAAAAATATAACAAATGCCATCACTGAGTTGTAAGTTGGCAAAGAACAAAAAATGGGGGGGGACGACATAAATAGAACCTTGCTTATTAGGAGAAAGAGCCAAAAAAAACAAAAAAAAAAACAGAAACTGAAGAAGTCCAAGTACATCACAGGAGCAAAACTGACAGAGCGAGACCTTATGATGTCAAGGCTTCAAAGAAAAGCATGAAGGCTCAGTGGAAAATCAGAGCCCGAGATCCAATACCCCTTGATATAACTAAGAAGCAAGCTTAACATATGCATTCATTGTCTATTTCTTTTTAATATATTTTTAAAATGTTTTATTTATTTCTAGGAGAGAGAGAGAGAGACAGCGTGAGCAGGGGAGGGTCAGAGAGAGAGGGAGTCACAGACTGAAACAGGCTCCAGGCTCTGAGCTGGCAGTCAGCACAGAGCCCGATGCGGGGCTCGAACCCACGAACCACGAGATCATGACCTAAGGGAAAGTCGGATGCTAAACCGACTAAGCCACCCAGGCGCCCCTGTCTATTTCTTTTTAAAGTAAACTTAACTAAGAGAAGAGAAACACTGATTAATTTTAAATGGGTACTATTCTTCCCTTGATACACCACAAATACTGAGAAGGACCCAGCACATGGACTTACAAGAAGACAATATCTGCTTGAAGAACTGTCATCACTCATCAGAAATAATGTCTGCTCACTGAAGAGCCCATTAAGAATTGTAAAAGAAACATCTTTCTTTCCTTACCACCGGACAATGTGATCTTGGAATTCGGAAGCCAGGTTTAGCTTGTTTCTTTCACCAGATAACTCTGTAAAGGAGGGGGGAAGTGAGATAAATAATTTTTGTAAATGTTGCTTAAAGTTTTCCCTTACCTGTTGACTAGGGGATAAAGAAGTATATAAAAATGTCCAAACTATCAAATGGGGACCTATTTTCAGCATCATTTAATCTTGGCGTATTACTCAGACTGGGCTGATTGATAATTTAGGCTAGTTGTAGATTTTCAGATAACCATTAATGCTAAAGAAACTCATACGTGCATTTTATTATTCTATTCCTTAATTCAATTTTACATACCCCACCCCTCCCATGCCGTTTTCATTTCTGGCCTTGAATACTTCACAGGGGTATCTTGGTTATGGGAAAACATACACATTTTCTTTCATAGTTGTTCATTTTAATTGATGTCTTCACCCATAAACCTTGACAAGCAAGATATTTGAAAGATCTGATAATTAAACTGATTTAAAAAAAATTAAACTTCCTCCCGAAAAAAGAATTGTCACTTTTAAGATAAGAAAAAAGGCGAATTTTCCAACTTACTCATATTTCTTTCCATGTTACCAAAAAAAAAAAAAAATTACTGAAAGAATCACTTCTCTCCAGACTCCTTCATTCAGTTTTAGACTAATATCAGTCTCGTCCCACTTAGGGTTTTTAGGGTTTTCTCCAAATGCCTTCATCAGGCAATCTGGCAATATCTATTACAATTAAAAATGCATATACCCCAATGCCATTTCTGGGAATCGGTAAAAGCACAATGGTCCTCCTTCCAGCATTGCTGTCAAGAGCCAAGAGCCAGGGACCACATACTCATCCATTGATAGAAGAATGGGGGAGCAGGGTTACGGGACAGCGCAGTGTTGGGAGACATGTTTTGGTCCTCAACACTGGAGAACGGACGCTACTGGCATCTAGTGAGTGGAGGCCAGGAAGGGTGCTCAACATCAAGTGGGCCACCAGACAGCCACACAACAAAGGTGTGTACCCTCCTGTATGTGAGGATTATCTCAGTTCATACTGGAATTAGGTAAGTATGGAAAGCATAGGGAAACTCTCACGCTGGGTTGTCAGAGAAGCGCATTTCAGGAGAGCCTGGAGCGAGGAGTGGGAAATGGTAATGGAGAAGAGGGGGTGTGGCTTCAGGTGCCCTTGACAAGACCAGCATCCCAATAGTATTTATTTTCTTTTGGGTTTTTTTTGTTTTGTTTTGTTTTTTTAGTTTATTTATTGAGAGAGAGGGACAGGGGAGGAGTAGAGAGGGAGAGGGAGAGAGAGAATCACAAGCAGGCTCCACTGAGCTATCAGCACAGAGCCCAGTAAGGGGCTCGATCACAGGAAACATGAGATCATGCCCTGAGCAGAAATCAAGAGTCAGATCCTCAACCAAGCCACCCAAGCATTCCTAGCATCTATTTTCGTATGCTTACATCAAAAGAAGAAAAAGTGCCACATTCAAGTCGTCTCTGCCGTGTTGACTAGTGTTCCTTGGACGCAGTTAGAGGTATAACCTCAGAACTTCACTGAGACCACGCTCTTCACAGATGACAGAAAAATAAACCCAGCTGAGAAAAATCCCAATTTAAAGGGCACGGAGACTAAGAAAATGATACATTTGTCAGATGGCCTTTGACAAATTACCATGCCGTATCACTTGGATTCCCATGAATAATCTTGTCAGTCCCAATTAATTTGAATTAACCGCACCCTCTTCATATCAATAGCTTGGTATTTTTATTACACTAGGGGGAATTCGATTTAAAATAGAGCAGTAACACCAAAAATACAAGTGACTCATTCGCTTTGTATCAATGTGAGTTTGGTTGCTTTTGCTGCTCTTTCCCCTGTGGTTAGCACTTTAACTTCTATCCTGCTGTGAGTACACATCACAAGGGGTGTTCTGTACGATGTCACAGGTGAGCCACGCTGAGTCAAGGCCTTTCTAGATTAAGAAACAGTAATTCTTGGGGTGCCTGGTGGCTCAGCTGGTTAAGCGTCAGACTTCGGCTCAGGACATGATCTCACGGTTCGTGTGTTCTAGCCCCACATTGGACTCTGTGCTGACAGCTCAGAGCCTGGAGCCTGGTTCGGATTCTGTGCCTCCCTCTCTCTCTGCCCCTCCCCTGCTTGCTTGCTCTCTCTCTCAAAAGTAAATAAACGTGAAAAAATTAGGCACAGAAAAGATTAACATCAATCACTAATAATAAAATAGGACAATTACAACAATATTCCATAATGGAAGTTATGTGAATATGGTCTCTCTCTCTCTCTCAAAATATCTTAGTGCACTGTCCTCACCCTTCCTTTTGTGATGATGGGAGATGACAAAATGCCTCTGTGATGAGATGAAGTGAGGTGAGTGACACAGGCACTGTGTCGTAGCATAGTCTACCTCTGACCTTCTGAGATACATCAGGAGGAGGATCATCTGCTTCCAGAAGGGTTGGAGGATCAGGATGAAGGGTGAAGGGTGAAGTTTGAAGGATGTGGATACATGTTGCACTATAAAGTTTTCTAAAACTTAGCTGTGTATTATATTGTTCTGACATTCTAAAAAATACCAACCCTTTCTGGATCCAATTCTTAGGGATAACAAAGGGCCCCTCCAGGAGTGGGATGTTAGTGAGGATGGGGAGAAGGGGGACCCTCTTGCACTGTTGGTGGGAATGTAAACTGGTGCAGCCCCTCTGGAAAACAGTGTGGAGGTTTCTCAAAAAATTAACACTAGAACTCCCCTAGGACCCAGCAATAGCACTGCTAGGAATTTATCTAAAGGATATGGAGTGCTGATGCACAGGGGCACATGCACTCCAATGTTTATAGCAGCACTTTCAACAATAGCCAAATTATGGAAAGAGTACAAATGTCTATTGACAGATGAACGGATACACACACACACACACACACACACACACACACACACACACTGGAATACTACTTGACTACTTGACAGTGAGAAAAAATGAAATCCTGCCATTTGCATTCCAGTGGATGGAACTGGAGGGCATTATGCTAAGTGAAATAAGTCTATCAGAGAAAGACAGATATCATACGCTTTCACTCATATGTGGAAATTGAGAAACTTAACAGAAGACTGTGGGGGAAGGGAAAGAAAAAATATATATAGTCACAGAGAGGGAGGCAAACCATAAGAGATTTTTAAATACAGAGAATAAACTGAGGGTAGAAAGAGGTGTAGGGGCTGGCAGAGGGGGAAATGGGTGATGGGCACGGAGGAGGGCACTTGTTGGGATGAGCACTGGGTGTTTTATGTAAGCAATGAATCACAGACGATAGATAGATGATAGATAGATAGATAGATAGATAGATAGATAGATAGATAGATAGAAGGTTTTTTTTTATATATATCTTAGTACCTTCCTTTATATATATAAGAAGATACTAAGATAATAAAAAACCTAACCAGTCCAAAGCCACATGTCCCCTGTGTGGTCATCACACCCCAGGAGACCATGCTCCTCTGCCTTGAACACTGGGCCACCCCAGAACCCAAGTCCTGAGCAAATTATCCAAACCAGCCAATTGTAAACTGTTGTCCCCGCCCTGCGTTGTCTTTCCTGAGGCCCCAGGTGGAGTGAGCACTGTCCCCCACCCTCTTGTGCCCTGTCTCCTGGCCACCCTGCTGGATTCCCCTCATGGCCCTGCATGGCGAGCAGTGCCCCATCCCAAAGACCTGTGGATATAAGACACTTTGTTGTTGTTGTGTTTCCTGAGCCTCTCCTCCGTCTCCTCCTGTGCCCACACCTGACCCATCATCTCATAAAAGTGTACAACACACAATGGGGCGCCTGGGTGGCTCAGTTGGTTGAGTGTCCAACTTCAGCTCAAGTCATGATCTTGCAGTTGGTGGGTTCGAGGCCGATGATGCACGCACACACGTGCATGTGGGAACACACACACACACACACACACACACATACACATACATACACACACTACATCTAAAACACACATAGAATGTGGAGAAGTCCAAAGGTGTTTGTAAACTGAAGACAAGGACCTAACAGAGGCATCTTCTTGTTGCTTCTGCATTTCCCAACAAAGCTCAAATTCCTCCCTGCCTTGACTTCCTTCCTCAGCACCAGGTGACCCTCTAAAGATTCATCTGTGATGGATTTCTTGCCCACTCTCCCAAGTGGTTCCTACATGCTATACAAATTTCCCCCCAAATGTCACCTCTTCTGAGAAGCCTCCTGTGATATGTCCAGCTCTGCTTCATAGTGTGTAGACCGCCTGATAAACACTATCAACGTGCACTGGGCTCTATGATTCCTGTCCCCTCACTTACCCTTCTCGTCTCCCTGTAATGGGACAGGCTTGGCTGTCCCATGGACTGATGCCTGGCACAGGACAAGACATAGGTTCGTAGAATTAGTTAATCTAGTTGCTGTACAAATGGGGAGGAAAGGGCCAGATGGCATGGTCCATCCAAGGCTACTCAGAGAGCTGTAATAACTGAATATTTTGTTTCTGCCTTCAAGCATTGCCTCAGATTTTGTTTTGTTTTGTTTTTCTGAAAAAAAAAATTAAGTAACTGATGGGGACTGTCTTTCCCCAAGGGAAACCGAGAAAAGCAACTGTATATCCTATGAAGAATGTAACTATTGTTTAGTCATGAATCGGTTTCAAGTAATTCTCAGGAATACTGAGTCTTGACCTTTCTCTTCCCAGGGTGAAGTAAGAGCCACAGGGCTATTGCACACACAGCTTCTACATGTGAAAATCTGAGGGCTCTGCATGTCCCCCTGAAAGCCATCAGTGTTTCCCATGCTCAGCATTATTCCCTGGGCTTCCAAAGAAACCCACAATAAAAAATCAGACTCAGGTTTAACCCTACCTCCTCCAAAGTCCCTTGGACCATTAACCTCCCTCTGCCCCTGACATTCTTCTGTGTTGTTGTTTTTTTTCCTATTCTTTCTTTGGTTCTTTCTTCCTCTCCTCATCCCAACAAACTTCTGCAGTCAGAGTCAGTATCTTGATTTTAAAGATGAGACAAACCGACTCAGAGAGATTCAGTAACTTGTCCCTGATACCACAGCTCACCGACACAGCATGACCCCCAAATCCTAGGCATCTTTTCATTTCATAGTAAATCCTTATGATCTCTTTTTGATTGACGTAACATACAGAATGGGATGGGCACAGGAGAAGAATGGAAGAGGGCGAGACAGTAGGAAAGAGGTAGGAGCTTGGGTTTGGTAGGTGTTCCCTGTGAATCTGTATGAATGTTGAGCAAAATTACTTACCCATCCTAAGCCTTAATTGTCTCCTTCAAAAAAAGCAGAGAGAAAATGGGGTTGCCGTCATTAGACTGATGTAGGAATAAACGAGACATATATGAAAAGTATATTAGCCCTGCATCTAATCCATAACATGGTAAGTAAATACGTTATCTGTGAAACTGAGCAGAGGGACGTGAGTGTGAGTGTGTGCAGCTGCTGGTGTGTGCAAGAATATGTACACCAGAGTCTGCCATGAGCTTCTGTGTGCAAAAGCTCTTATAGTGTGAACAGGTGGGAAGCCTAAGCTGACTTGACCCCAGAGAAACAGACTCACAAGTGCTGTAATTCTGTGGGGGGTTTTTTGTTTGTTTGGTTGGTTGTTTGTTTGTTTGTGTTTGTGTTTGTTTTTTGGAAATGCCAATCCCCAGCCACTGTTGGGCTGGAAAGCCTGAGAAAGCCAGGCTTCCAGAAAGATCTGGAGGGGACAGCAGCAGGTGATTGCCGAGGATGGCAACCCAGACCATTTCAGTAAGCAGGAGAGGCGATGTGGGTGATCGCAGTGGGCAATGAGTATCTTTAAACTATTGGTTTTCTTAAAAATGCTACTATTTCCTTTTTCTAGTGCTTAGCTCTGACAAATGTAGTGAATAAAAAAATAAGAATGTTGGGGTGCCTGGATGGCTCAGTTGGTTAAGTGTCTAACTTTGGCCCAGGTCATGGTCTCACACTACGTGAGTTCAAACCCCATATGGGGTTCTGTGCTGAAAGCTCAGAGCCTGGAGCCTGTTTCAGATTCTGTTATCCATCCTTCTTTCTCCCCTCTCCCTCTCGCACTCTGAATCTCAAAAATCAATAAACATTAAAAAAAAGTTTAAAAATAAAAATAAGAATGTAAGGTACAGCCAGTGAAACTTGAATTTTAGATCAACATATTTGCACTGTATAATAAAACCTTTATTGGGGTGCCTGGGTGGCTCAGTCAGTTGAGCATCTGACTTCGGCTCAGGTCATGATCTCACAGTTCATGGGTTCGAGCCCCACATCAGGCTCTGTGCTGACAGCTAGCTCAGAGCCTGGAGCCTGTTTCAGATTCTGTCCTCTCCTGCTCATGCTCTCTCTCTCTCGCTCTCTCTCTCTCTCTCAGAAATAAATTAAATGCTAAATTTTTTTTTAATACAGCCTGTATTTACACATTTGGTAATTCTTGCTTTGAGCAATGGAGTTTCTATGTGCCCTTTCTCTGGAGGAACCATCAATGTGACTGTGCTTGAAACTCTTGGTCCCCGTGTGACAAGAATGATTGATCAGGGCTGATCCTTAAAACATCAAATCGCAGAAAGGTTCAAGAGCCCTCCTGGGGAACCAAAACATCATTGCTAGTGGAATGCTTCATTTCTCCTGCAGCATCAATGAAAATCTCTCATTCCGTGAAATGTCTCCAAAATACAAGTTATTAATTTTTTTTAGTTCTCAAAATACCTTTTCTTTTCATTAAGATACCAGCCATTTAGGAAGGATCTGTTTCCTTCTTCCAAATACATAAAATCAACAACACTTCAGTTTATGTTTTCAATCCCTCCATCCCCAT